CCCTTCACTCAACATCTTCCATCCCCTTTATCCCACATTTTCCATCCCCTTTGCCCACTATCTCTCACAGCCTTTCTCCAGCCTTCAACCCAGCCTTTKCCTGGCAGCTTGAGGGGCTGGCAGTGGTTTCCACCAAGGTGGGAATTCATCCCTCTGGTTTTCCACCCCAGCTGCCACCAGCATGTGGCATTACCACAAAGGCTCTGCATTGTGTGTAYCCACAACCTGTCAGAGACAGTAAATTTTATTGTTGTGGCTCTTTTAATGATTCTCATAATAATTCAGCGCTGAAATCAGCCAGCTGGGCAGAAGGAGTCTTTGTTTTTATGTGTGATTCCACCTCTAAGCAGTCCAGCTAAGTTAAGGATACCCAAGGACCTTTGATATTCCAGGAYCTTCCTGTCTCCCTCCTTTGTTGGGGTGATGATAAAGAGATGAAGGACTGTGACATGTTTAACTGCTCCTCCCAAGCAGAAGGGGAGAATGTCATATTTTGGGAACCAGATGAGCAGATCTAGCAGCCTGTGCTCTGCAGGCCCTTGTGGGGAGCAGCCCTGAGCTGGGAGGTGGGCACAGGGCCYATCCTCTGGCTGCTGAGGCTGTGCAACTTTTATTTAAAACTAAGGAATTTCTTTGTTCCAGACAACTCTTTCCTTAACCTTTCCTCTTCTCAGSTTCTTCTCCCCATTCCCACAGACAATAACCTTGTGTGAACTGCTGGAGGAGACACTGGCTYAGCAAACCCTCCTGCCTCCCTGCCAGCTGTGTTCCCCTGGATCAGAGGGACCCTCAGGTCCCTTGGGGAGCGATAGGCTGGTGGCGATTATGGGAAGCAGATCTCAGAAGGGTTTGTCTTCGTGAGGGAAATGGCACAGCAGAGCTGTTGGAGAAGAATAATTGTATTATTATGCAGGAATAAAGTCCCGTTTATTTCTGAGAAGGGAATGGGTRTGGGGGAAGAGCAGTGAGTGATTGCAGAATAATTACCCCACAGCAGCTATGCCGGGCAATGTTTCCCTTGCAGGCAACTCCTAAATATTGCGCTAGAGAAGGACTGGCAGCCTGGATCATGCGAAGGGTGAAGGCGGGGCTGTCTCATCCCAAAGGACACTTGTCAGCACCCATCGGCTCCTGCAGGAATCAGAGATGATGCAAACACTCACCGGGCAGTGCCACAMACCTGCGGGCAGGGCCGGGCAGCCAAGAGCCACCCAGCTCCCAGTGCCCTGCACCTTCCCGCAGCGGGCTGTGCAGGGATGCTGCTGCTGCTGCTGCCCCAGGGCTCTGTCCGGCCCTCCCGGCTCCTCCGGCACATCCCAGCGCGCTCCCACGTGCCTTTGTGTTGGTCAGAGCGGCGTTTTTCCACCGCGCGGGGCTGGCAGCGCATTCCTGTCTTGCTTCACCACGCGTGAACCGGCGATCACCCAGTTGGGTCCCGTGAATAATTAATATCTGTGTCACTGTGCTTCCTCCCCCCGCGGCGCTGCCGATCGCTCCTCCGGGACGGGCGGTTCGGCCAAGGTCACTGCCGGTGCCAGCCCCAGCAGGACCGCGGGCGGGGGGCAGCCTGGGGGTCCCCCAGGTGTCATTGTCCTTATGGCTGCTTCCMGCATCCCTGCTGGGTGGGGAACGGCTCCAGCCGCGGGAGAGGAGCGGCACAAAGGGGAGCGGCATCTCTGCAGGCCCGGCGATGGGGGAGGCGACAGGGGGACACGGATGCAGGTGGCTGCCGGGGAGGTCGTGCCGAGGGGCGGTGACCCCCCTCGACCTGCTGCACCCCTCCAGAGACCTGCAGCGGGGGTGGTCCTTTCTGACAACCCGCTTTGTGTCCCGGGTTGYGCGACTCCCGGCGCCTTCCCCGTTGTTTCCCAAAACTGAGGCCGGGGAGGATGGGGAAAATGAATTTTTTTTTAATAMAATTTTTAAAAATAACAAAAATTTTAAAACGCAACCCCCTGCATTTTGACGAACCGAGCACAGACAGACACGCAGCCGTAAGAAAGGCAGCCTCGCGTCCGCCCGCCGCCGCTGCCGGGG